TTCTTTTGCAACCATGGTTGTTTGTGGATAATACATGAAGATGCGATGCCATGGCCCGACTATGATGATGGTGGAAATGACGGTTTGTCAACACCTTGAAAACTGAATTGGCACAACATAAGGCAACTGACCATTACGCAACTAACAACAGTTGGACATCGTTGACAAACAATGGCATTGATGATGATTGTTGATACTGTCGTCAAATTTGTCTCTTCGCAATGTGGTTTAGACCAATTGCCTTGATTATTGTCAATTTTCAGACATTGTGTTATGCGGCTTCTTAAAATAACATGTATACCCCCCTCGATAGTTTATTTAAAATTTACAGCTTCTGCCATAGAATATCACAAGAAGAAAGCGAAAAGTAAAAAGGGGTTTAATATGCACTACTATGTTTATCAAAATAAAATGAATTAATGAAAAGAATAAAATAAATTAACTTAGAAAAGCAATTCAATTTTAATTAAAAGAAAACAAGTAAAAACAAGTAAGCTAGCCTTTGCTCGTGCGGGGCCGACTATGTTATACCCTACAACACTTCATACGTTAGAAGCCCCCTTATGTCCAAATCCATATTGGAAGATTTCGCTTTTGAAATTAGGACTTTGACTAGGGACATTTGCCCAACATTTATGCACTCCGTCGGGCTGTTAGTTGTTGTAGTCCATTTTACAGCTAAATATAATCCAATGGTTATCCAAAATGCTAGAATTCTTCACTGTCCATAACTCTATTCACAGGCGTGTCGATTGGCTTCAATTGTGTGATCGGAAAAACATTTCTGTTTTCGGTTAATTTGAACCCCTAAATATTTTGCAATCATCTCCGAAAGCAAGAAGTCCCTCTGTATCTATAAATTTAGACTTATCTTTTCACACAAAATTAGTGGTACATTGTACCCTCTGTCCTAAACTCTAACTTTATGCGAGATTTCGTGTCCTTTGGTTTCTATTTGTGACCTTTATAACGGCTGCAAATTCAGGAAAATTTGTAGTTGTTGGTCCATTTCAACCCCCTAATATATTGCGGACATCTTTGAAAATAATAGGCCTAGCCCTTCTGAGCCCAACCCTTGTGAAAATTTTCGTGAGGATCGGACGATATTTGCAATACTTATATAATATCCCCAACCTGTGTTGTAAGGTGAAAAAAATATTACAAAAATTACAAAATATTATAAGTCAAATTGAAAAAATCGCATGCGATAAAAAATATGAAAAAATTAAAAAATATCACAAAATACTACAAAATCTATATTAACATCATTATTGGCATATTTTTCTGCGATTTTTTTAGATTTTATACTTTTATGTCAAGAGGGCATTCTGAATTGACAAAATTTGTCAAAGTCGGTACAGCCATTCTTGAGATATAAGCATTCGAACTAACATCCTCTTCCATATATACTTTCCTATGTGGGAAACCAATATTTCGTGGTGTTACATAATTTTTGGACCAATCAAACTTATAATACCCCCAAAACATAGTCTTGTAGGGTATAAACACTAAGTTCGGCCGGGAAGAACTTCAATATTCTACACCTTTGGGTAAAGAAAACATTTTTATATAAAAGTATCTGAATTCAAGCGTGTTCCACTTTAAACTACATGTACCAGCAAGACCGTTTGGATAATACTTTTAAAAAAACCATAAAGTGGGTGAGGCCATTATATGGTGGCCATACCAAATCTTCTTAAATACCAAATTTAAAACAATATCGTAAATGTGACTAGAATTATCAAAATTCACAGTATCGGTGTGTTTCGTTGTAAGTGCCCTATAGGAAAACGTGGAAATAAATTTTCAATGTTATGCTGCTGGAGCTAGAAGCCATTATGAACTACTATACCAATTTGCAGACAAATCCGTGACAAAATGTGGCAAAAATCATCAAATTACTGAATATCAGGAGGTACAATTGTGTGGGGCCTATACGAAAACGTGAACCTATACATAATAAGTTCCGCCACAGGAGCAAGAATCCATTACGAACTACAAATAGAAATTTTTGGATAAATCCGTGGTAAAGTGTTGTATGGGAGCTATACCAAAACGTAGACCTATATATACTATGTTCCGCCACCGGATCTAGAACACATTATAACAAAAATAAAATTAGACACATCCGTGGAAAAATGTGGCAAACACCATCAAAATACCGAATATCGGGATGTACCGTTATGTGGGGGCTATACGAAAACATGGACCTATACATACACTGTTGTACCGTCGGAGCTAGAAAGCATTGCGACCAACAAATACCAATTTTTGGATAAATGTGGTAAAATGTGGCATAAATCATCAAAATATCGAATATCGGGAGGTACATACAATGTTTCATCACCGGAGTTAGAACCATTATGACCTATAAATGCCAATTTTTAGACAAATTCGTGAAAAAATGTGGCAAAAATTATCAAAATACCGAATATATGGCGGCTATACCAAAACGTCTCAATGTCTCATTTTCAATATCAACTATCCTATCAATACCAACTATAAATTGTTCTGCCAAAATTTGAGGTCAAATGATATGGGCTGTATCATGCTTTAAACATAATGACGGACATCGTTAAATCGACTTAGAATTTTATGCTGATTATGAATATATATAGTTTAGAGGTCCAACGACGATTAGGGATGTTACAAACGGAATGATAAAGTTAATAGAAAGTAGAGTATTTCCAGGTGGATGGTATAATAATCCAAACAGCGAAAACCATATTATCATCCAATTTGATTGGAAATTGTAGCAGAAACCATCAAAATATCGAAAATCCGGAGGAATAGTAATTTGGGGGCTATACCTGAACGTGGATCAATATAGCCCATTTTCAATACCAATCGGAATGTATGTAATATAAATCTTTGTATAATATAATATAAATCTTTCTACAGATCATTTTGTTTGAAAATCCAAATTTGTGTGTGTTTGCCATACTATGGAGGGTACATTAAGTTTTCACTCCGTTTTCATGCCAGTCCCAACTATATATACTATATATACAGGGTGAGATAAAAAACCTGCAACAAACCTCATTTTGTAACCATTCTTGGGTGCGCGTGCTAAGTTCTGTTGGAATGTCCAATGTCTGTGCCCAAATCGTTTGCATTCCTAAGGCTTTATTAGACCCTCCAGAATATTTTCGCGATAATATTCCTCATTTATTCTGATGCTACGGTCGATTAATACGAGCGGAGAGCGATCACCGGCTGTTATGGCGGCCCACACCATCACCATGGCTGGCGCATAAATTCTGATGTCCGACCGAAGGTGCACATTTTCAGCTGACCTCTTGCCACGAACATTTTGTTTGTTTACAAACTGACGGACGACGAATGTTTTCTCATCGGAGAAAACCAAATTCGGCAATTCACCACTTTCGGCCATGCGAAGCAACTCTTTAGCTCTTTTGAGTCTATTTCCTTTTCGTTGCGGTGTAAGTTCTCGCACTTTTTGGAATTTTAATGGCTTTATCCCAAGCTCATTTTTTTAATATTTGCCGAATGGAATATTGCGATATGTTCAGAACACGAGCCAATTTTCGGCTTCTTTACTTTTCGAACCATTTCAGCTGATGTTGCTGTTTTCTTCCGTCCACTTTCTTGATGTCAGGCTACGCTATCAGTATCACGCTTACGAGCGATAGTACGAGGCACAAAAGATTTATTCACATTTAAATGCTGGAGTGCTTTAACGATAGCCACTTGTGGTTTTCCAGCCAAATATAAAGAAATCACACTATCACGCTTGAATTCCATGACGAATAACTTTTTTCTGGAAAATTCTCACCAAAATGCTTTTGTACGCTCTTAAACAATATAATGAGTTGTCACTGGAATAATTTTATCGGACGAGTGGCTTAGAAATGACAGCAGTCTGAAGTTGGTTGCAGTTTTTTCATCTCACCCTGTATTTGTGGAAGCTAAGCTATATCTGAACCGATTTTCAGCAAATTTGATGTACTTACTTTTAGACTGAATTCTGTCGGCTGTGCCAAAATTCAGGTCATTTTGGATTGATATTGGCCGTTTGTTGCACAATTAACCCGAAATCGGTGGATAATGTATATGGGAGCTACATGAAAATTTGAACCGATTCTCATCAATTCCAATAGTGTTCGTCCTTGAGCCAAACAAATATTGTTTGGAAAATTTCATCTCAATCGGATAATAAATGCGACCTGTATTTTGTTCCCAAGAATACATGGATGGACAGACATAAGGACTGACATGCATAAATAGTGATTCAATGAAGATCCTCAAAAGTAACTATGAGTCTACCTCGCTTCCTTCTCCATGTTACAAACAAATGCACAGAAATATATACCACTATATGGTGTAAGGTAAAAAATCAAATATGTAACTTGGGTCAATGGTAATGGAACCGTTTCTAATGTCTATTCCCTTTTGAACAAATTTCCAAGATTTATGTATTATTAGAAGATTCTTAAGATTTTACTTTCAGATGTCCATCACCCTCTTCCTTTATAAGTATAGAAGATTTTGTATACCAATTCTAAAAGCTCCGCTCCTCATATATATATGCAATCATATTTTGTTTTCAGATATTTACAATGACTTAATTATTTTTTCAATTTTTTTTTACCGAAATTATTTAAGAGACCATACAATAAAACTAGAATACTAATATTTAGGAACGATTGCTGGGGCGTATAAATGTTGTGCATATGTATACGCCACCAACCAAAACAATATTGTTTTTTAAGTAAAGCATACTTTTATATACATGTGGAAATATACACATGGAAATACTATTTTTCTGAAAATTAAAAACAGAGGAAGAGGAAGTTTGTTTGAAACTTTTGAAACCAACTTTGTAAATAAGTTACGCAAATGTTGAATAATTAAAAACATTACACCATGTGTTGTTGAAGTGCGTAGAAAACGATTAGGTAACAAAACACTTCCAATTTACGACAAACTGAACGGTAGCTCAAAATAATAATAAAAATATAGCTTCACGGAATAGAAACATGAAGTTCCTCACTGAGAGAAAAACGCAACAAATCACCAAATATTCTGTAAAAATCAAAACCCTCGAAGATGTTCCAATGCTGTGGTTTAATGTGCGAATTTTAAAATTCTGGTCGGTGCTTATCGACAATAATTGGCGTCAGTACTTTTCCTATATACCGTTTTTCTTTTTGAATATTTTTCAAATACTGGATTTGTATTATACGGAAAAGGAGATCAATGATAAGATACACGATACCTATATGACAATGATAATATTCAATACATTTCTGAGAGCCATTGTAATGGTAACAAATCGAAGGAAATTTTCCGAATCTCTGGAGTACATGAAGGATTTGTATGCGGAGCTAATAATGGAATATGATTTTGAAATACGACAAATTATACGAAAATATTCGGATATGGTGTTGAAAGTATCGAAAATTAATCTCACAATGGGCATTCTGACGTGCGTGGGATTTTCCATGTTTCCCATAATGGCCGAGGAGAGAGGTAAGGATGTAAAAATTATTTCAAAGCTGCTTCCAAATCCCTAAGGATTTTTAAATAAGGCTTTTGAATTTGACGAACATGGAAATTTTGAAACACAGGGTAAGATAAAAAAAAACGGCAACCTACTTCAGACTGCTGTCATTTCTAAGCCACTCGTCCGACCGCCATTAAAGTTTTTTTCCAGTGACAGCTCATTATATTGTTTATAAGCGCACAAAAGCATTTTGGTGAGAATTTCCCAGGAAAAAAGTTATTCGTGATGGAATTCAAGCGTGATAGTGTGATTTCTTTATGTTTGGTTGGAAAACCACAAGTGGCTATCGTTAAAGCACTCCAGGATTTAAATGTGAATAAATCTTCTGTGTCTCGTACCATCGCTCGTTATCGTGATAGCGTTGCCCGACGTCAAGGAAGTGGACGGAAGAAAACAGTAACATCAGCAAAAAAGTTCGAAAAGTAAAGAAGCGACTTGATCGAAACCCGCGTCATAGTGGCCAAAAATGACTCGTGAGCTGAACATATCGCAAAGTCCGATTCAGCAAATATTGAAAAATGAGCTCGGGGTAACGCCATTGAAATTCGAAAACGACGCAAAAAAATAGCAGCATCAGCAGAAATGGTTCGAAAAGTAAAGAAGCGACTTGATCGAAACCCGTGCCGAAGTGGCCGAAAAATGGCTCGTGAGCTGAACATATTGCAATATTCCATTCGGCAAATATTGAAAAATTAGCTCGGGGTAAAGCCATTGAAATTTTAAAAAGTTCAAGAACTTACACCGCAACGGAAAGAAGAGATCTAAAGAGTTGCTTCGCATGGCCGAAAGTGGTGAACTGCCGAATTTGGTTTTCACCGATGAGAAAACATTCGTTGTCCAGCAGTTTGTAAACAAACAAAATTATCGTATTTACTTGAAAAAGAGGTCAGCTTAAAATCTGCACCTTCGGTGGGCCACCAGAACTCAAGCGCCGGGCCATGGTGATGATGTGGGCCGCCATAACAGCCGATGATCGCTCTCTGCTCCTATTAATCGACAGTGGAATCAGAATAAATGACGAATATTATCGCGAACATATTCTGGAAGGTGGACACGCACACATTTTGGCCGCAGACCTTGGACATTCCAACAGGACTCAGCACCATCGCACTCGGCACGCGCCACCTAAGAATGGTTACAAAATGAGGTTTCTCGCTTCATTTCCAGCGCACAATGAGTATTTTGGAATGAAAGGCTGACACTAAAAAATACCAAAGTGTCGATCACCTCAAGCAAGCGCTTCGCCTGGAATGGACCAAAATACCGCAGAGCAACAGTCGGGCAGTGTGTGACGGTTTCATTGGCCGTTTGAAGGCCATAATTCGTGTCAAAAGTGACCAATTCGAAAAAATCTAAACTTATTCTAAAACTTGATGATATTTCCGACATGTTTTGCCTTCATTAAAAACAATGTAAAAATTATGGCATTTGACTTTGTTGCAGTTTTTTTATCTCCCCTTGTAAATGATGCTTTTGAATTTGAGGAATATGGTTTTTTTTTTTTTTTTTTTTTGAAATATTCTAATATTTGATTTTTTTTTCAGAATTTATTTTCGGCATGTATGTACCCTATCTGAACGAGTATCAAACTCCTTGGTATGAAATATTGCTGGCCGTGCAAAGTGTCTTAAATCTTTCGGGGATGTGTACGTTTATACCATTTGCAGGAATGTTCGTCTCATTTCTGGTCTTTGCCATGGCCATATCTAAGGTCCTACAATACAAACTGAGTAAATTGTCCACAGAGATCTCTTCGAAATTGGCTGAAAGGCAAATTATTGAGTGCATAAAATTGCATCTGAAGCTTATTAGGTAAAACCATCATTCAATTAATTTCAATATTCTATCACTACTAACCAAAAATATTTTCATCCAGTTTCATAGATAAAGTCAATGAATTGTGCTCCATAATATTCCTGGTGGACTGTATACTATTTGTTGCTATTCTGTGCATTATGTTGCTGTCTTTTATATTGGTAACAATTTATTAAAATTTTTAAATTAAATTTTATTTTTAGTTTCCCAACCTTAGGTAAAAACTGTTATACAAAAATGTGTCATAGTCGTCTATATGATAATGGTATTTACCCAAACTTTCCTCTTGTATTACTTTTCGAATGAAACCTATCACGAGAGTTTGGAGATATCCACAGCTGCCTATAACATTGATTGGTTTAATTATGATGTCGAAACCCAGAAAGTTTTACAGTTGCTGCTGCTAAGATCCCAGAAACCATGTGCAGTAAGTCCATCGGGGTCTACTGTTTTATGGAAACTGTTATTCTATTTATTTTTCGCTCTCCCTCTCTCTTTTATTTAGATTTTAATCGCCAAAGCTTACCCCATCAATTTGGTCAGATTGCAAGCTATGTTGAGGGTCACCTACAGCGTATTTACTTTGTTGGACAAGTTTTATGGATAAGATGTTATAACAGTTCTAATAATAAAGAATTTTAATGGTTGACTACCAGTATGTATATAGAAGTCGATGTTTAGCCCTTACGGAATTTGTAATCTAAACATCTAAAAGAAGCTTATTTCTTCTTTGCTTCAAAAATCTTCATGTGTACAAAAAAATCTATTTCTTCATGTATGTGTACAAAAAAATCTATTTGCTGAATTTCGAGTTAATACTCCGACATGGGAGTCGAAACATTTGTGATTAAACTCCGACATCTTTTTTCCATCACTTCGACTCAGACTCAGAAAGGAACAAGTAATAATGCGCCTATGTTCGGCTGGATCGAACTTTAAATACCCTCCATTACTTGGAACCAACTTTAAAAATTAAAAAAAAAAATCTTAAAAAATACCGCTTAAATGAAAACCGTGATACGGGGCAACGCGAAGACGAGGGCCTGTATAAGTATTTGTTTGGCATAGACTGAAGTACCGATTCCGAACTTCAAATACGAAATTTAAAACAATTCCGGGGAATAACGTCGCTAATATCATCAAAATTCTGAATAAAGGGAGGTACCGTTATGCATGGGGTATACGAAGCCGTGAAGCTGCATAGACAATCTTGTGCCATAGGCTATAGTTTCCATTGCGAACTTCAAATACGAAATTTAAATCAATTCCAGTCTATAATTTTCTAAAATCATATAAATACCGAATATTGAGGGATACCATATATTCATATAAATACCGAATATGAGGAAGAGTGGAGGGTATAAAAAGCAGTAAGTTCGGCCGGGCCGAACTTTGAATACCCGCCACCATTTGGAACGAATTTGGAAATAAAATCATTAAAAAATTATGTTAAAATTTTAAAAATATTGCCGTTATATTAGACACGACGTGGACCTACATAGGCATTGTTTGTCATAAGTGATTACCAAATTCAAATTGAAATAAACGGTTAATAATGTAGCTAAAATCATCAAAATATCGTATATAGGAGCTGTGCGAAGACCAGCATAGACAATTTTCTGACACAGGCTGTAGCATCCATTACGAACTTCAAATACAACATCTCAAACAATTTCGGTGGGTATTGTACCTAAACTCGAAAAATACCGAATATAGAGAGGAACCGTTATATGGGGGCTATACGAAGACGTGGGCCTGCACAGACAAATTTCTGTCATAGGCTGTAGCATCCATTACGAACATCAAATACAACATCTCAAACAATTTCGGTGGGTATTGTACCTAAACTCGTAAAAATACCGAGGTACCTTTATATGGAGGCTATATGAAGACGTAGACCTGCACAGACAATCTCCTGTCATAGGCTGTAGTATCCATTACGAACTTAAAATACCAAATTTGAAATAATTTCGGTGAATAATGTCGCTAAAATGATCAAAATACAGAATACAGAGGTACCGGTATATGGGGGCTATACGAAGGTGAGAACCTGCACAGACAATTTTCTGTCTTATGCTGTAGTATTCATTACGAACTTAAAATATTAAATTTGAAACAATTCCGGTGAATTATGTCGCTAAAATCATCAAAAACTGAATATCGGGAGGTACCGTTATATGGGGGCTATACCAAAATGTACACCTAAATGGCCCATTTTCAATACCAAAAGTACTGCAGACATAACATACATTTGAGTAAAATTTTATCAACCTACTTCAATTCTTTCGGAAGCTAGAATGATTTAAACAGACGGATAGACGGACAGATTGACGGGCATCGATAAATCGACATAGAATTTTATGCTGATCAAGAATATATATACTGTGTTGGGTCTGACGTGAGTATTTCGAGGAGTTACAAACGGAATGACAAACTTAATATACCCTCCATATATACCCAAGTTTGGCCGGGCCGAACTTTTTATAACCTTCTATCTACAGTGCCCAGGTGTGTCAGGAGCGTAACTGATCAGTAACTGATGTTCTATCATCCTTTCTCTGAGGGTTCGACAATTATTTAACCGTTTCCCACAATTTACCCATAAAGCTGCCAGTGTTCCAACACTTTAAATGGTCCAGCCACTTTTTTCTCTAGTAATCCTCTTCCAATTCTGATCAGTAAGTTTTCCCATGGTTAAGAAAAGTATGACGTTCAGGGGCTATGAATGAGGGTGTTCTTCTTTTGGAAACGATCATGGCAGTCACCTTGCACATACTGTCATTACAGGCGGCTAATACCTATCAAAAGCGTCAAAACTATTAAACGGCGGGATGCAACACATGAATCACATCTATCTCTGCAGTTCCAGACTTCACCGTTATCCCCACTCTTTCCATGTAAAAGTCACTTAAGACTATCTTAAACGAAATAGGTCTGTATGGAACAGGATTCGAGCAACAGGAACACTAATCCCCCACCTCTACTTTTAACGTGGCTATCTCATCGCCTGAGCTAAGCTCAGCTGTTCCCAGGGTCTCCACTAGGTCCCACTAAACCTTATATATTAAGAAGAATAGATTACTAACATTCCTGAGCGTGTAAGTCATGTACAGGATGAGATGCAAATACTGCAACCAATTTCAGACTGTTCTCATTTCCAAACCACTCGTCCGACAGATTTTAAAATTATTCCAGTGACAGCTCATTATATTGTTTACAATCTTACAAAATCATTTTGGTGAGAATTTTCCAAAAAAATGTTATTCGTGATGTAATTCATGCGTGATAGTGTGATTTGTTTATATTTGGCTGGAAAACCACAAGTGGCTATGGTTAGAGCACTCCAGCATTTAAATGTGAATAAAACCATCACACGTTACCGTGATACTGGTAGACTGGCTCGTCGTCAAAGAAGTGGACGGAAGAAAACAACATCATCAGCAGATATGGTTCGAAAAGTAAAGAAGCGACTTGATCGAAACCCGCGTCGCTGTGACCGAAAAATGGCTCGTGAGCTGAACATAACGCAATATTCCATTCGGCAAATATTGAAAACTGAGATTGGGGTAAAGCCATTGAAATTCCAAAAGTACAAGAACTCACATCGCAACAGAAAGGAAATAGACTCAAAAGAGATAAAGAATTGCTTCGCTTAAGTGGTGAATTTGGTTTCCTCCGATGAGAAAACAGCAGTTTGTAAACAAACAGTGTTTACTTGCCAAAGAGGTCAGCTGAAAATGTGCACCTTCGGTTTGCCACCAGAACTCAAGCGCCGGACATGGTGATGGTGTGGGCCGCCATAACAGCCGATGGTCGCTCTCCGCTCGTATTAATCGAACGTGGCATCAGAATAAATGCCGAATATTATCGCGAAAATATTCTGGAGGGTGTATTAAAGCCTTGGGCATGCAAGCATTTTGGCCGCAGACCTTGGGCATTCCAACAGGATTCAGCACCATCGCAAACAGAACGCTCCGCCCAAGAATGGTTACAAACTGAGGTTCCTCGCTTCATTTCCATTTCCAAAATCTGCGGATACCAATCCGTTAAACTATTGTGTCTGGAGTATTTTGGAAAGCAAGGTTTGCACTAAAAAATACCAAAGTGTCGATCAGCTCAAGCAACCACTTCACCGGGAATGGACCAAAATACCGCAGAGCAACATTCGGGCAGGGTGTTTCAATGGTTGTTTGAAGGCCATAATTAGTGCCAAAGGAGACCAATTCAGACAAATCTTAACTTATTCCAAAATTTGATGCTATTTCCGACATTTTTTGCTTTCATTCAATAAAAATTAAAAAAAAAATGTTAAAAATGTAACGGTTGATTTTGTTGCGGTTTTTTTATCTCACCTTGTATATTAAACTTACTTTCCAAACTTGATTCTCATACAAAATTTCTATCGGTTTATATAATAACATAATCTTAAACCTGTTTTTCGACAGAGAATATTTTATATATTACTTTTCTTTCTTATTTTATTTTGGCTTGAGGTCAGTAGAATAAAACACAATTAATTTTGTTTCATCATTTTATTTCCAATATTTCGATCGGCATCGACGATCTTCATCAGGGATTGAACTTTAAAAAACAAATAACATGCATTTTAATATTTTAAAAATTTTTTTAAACATAATTAACAATTATAATAATTACATTTGTTTATAGTCTTAAAAACAATTTCACTTCCACATTACATTACAGAGATTTTCAGACTAAACTCTTCGGTGTCTTTCTATTGTGTTTCTATAAATTTGCGCACAGTGTTCTGTGTCTGATTTGTAATTCATTCTATTTTCAATGGGGACATTAATTATGTGAAGCATTTCCAACATGTATCTTCGCTTGTAATTGTTCTCTTGTGTTAATATGTCAACATTTTTAAAATTAGGAGTATGTCCGGTTGTTGCACAGTGTGCGGCAAGTGCTGTTTTCTGTTCAAGAGGTTTGTCTTTAGCTTTTTGGTCAGATTTATGACCACTTAACCGTGTTTTATACCCTCCACCAAAAAAGGTATGGAGGGTATATTAACTTTGTCATTCCGTTTGTAACTCATCGAAATAATCATTTTAGACCCAACAAAGTATATATATTCTTGATCAGCGTAAAATTCTAAGACGATTTAGCCCTGTCCGTCCGTCTGTCCGTCTGTTGTAATCACGCTACAGTCTAAACGAATTAAGATAGGATAGCTAAAATTTTGCACAGATCTCTCTTATGTCTGCAGGCAGGTCAAGTTCGAAGATGGGCTATATCGGTCCACGATATCGTATAGCCCCCATATAACGGTACCCCCCGATATTCGGTATTTTAATGATTTTACCCACATTTTTGAATGGAATTGTCTGAAAATCCACACAAGGAGTTTCTTGTGGGTACTTTATACCTCGGCAGAGAATTATCTATATAGGTTCACAATATCGTACAGCCCCCATATAACGGTACCCCCCGATATTCGGTATTTTGATGATTTTAGCCACATTTTTCAACGGAATTGTCTGAAAATTCACACAAGGAGTTCCTTGTGGGTACTTTATACCTCGGCAGAGAATTATCTATATAGGTACACGATATCGTATATCCCCCATGTAACGGTACCCCCCGATA